GCGCAGTAACGCTGCGGACCTGTGGCTGTGCGACTCGATTTAAACTCCGCTGGCATATATAATCAGTCCGCGCCTCGATTTTGTCCCACCCCATCATGCAAACACATTCAGCCCAAGCTCTAAATCCAAATCGAACTTACAACTCAAACTCGAAACAAACATATTCTGACCAACATGCATCTGCGAAGCATCTCCCTTTGCACGGACCTCCCTCTCGCATTTCAGACCATCTCTCTCTCGGACCCAGGGAAAGGAACGCAGTCGATCTTTCAAGCGAGGACATCCTTTGCGAAACGCTTCAACGCGACTTTCGCTCTTCCGGGGCCGAGAGATATCCCCGAGGATGCCTTTGTCCCACACCTCATCTGTCCGACTTCCGACGACGACAGCGGGGACACCTTCCTGGATCCTAACGAGAAGCTGGAGAGCATGGGGGCAGACCGCCAAGGTAACGTGAAGATATTCTTTGAGATCGACAAAGAACTGAAGGCGGACATCGTTCCGCGGTGCAGTTTCATACTAGGTTCCAAGATTGTTCTCCTGGAACAGGAGAAACACCAACTTCACAAAGACCTTGCGAGTGCGCAATTGCGTCTCTCGTTCCTGGAGGCGGAAGTAGTCAGGATGCAAGGTCCCGGTGGGAAAGTCTATAGGAAGAAGAAGAAACTGAAGATGAAGGGCGGGAGGAATGGCAAGAACTCACCAGAGCCGCCTGGAGTTGCCGACAACACGACCGATGGACACAGTGCCATGGTGAAGATACTTCAGGTAGCCCTAATCCACGAGAAGCGGGCGCGCAAGATGGACTTAGAGGACGAACGCAAGGAACGTAAGAAAGAAATGGAGCGTATGGAGGCACAGCATGCGAAGGAGCTAGCCGCCTGGGATGAGGAGAGAGCGGCGTTGGATAGTAAGCTGCAAGAGCTCTACGCCCTCAATCGCGAGGCTTTCACAGGAGACGATCAGGACGCGCACGACCGCCTAACTCGCTGCGTGCTCCTCGATTTCGGCCGCGACTATATCCGGGAGAGGGTATACGACTCGCCCAAGACCACCCAGCGTAAGCGCTGGGACGCGTTCACCAAGCGCTTTCGGTCGATGGACCACTTCGTCGCTGAGACATTCCTTCTATGCCAGCAGAGAGGGTCATCCCTTTCCAAGGACGCCCTGAAGAGGATATGGCAGCCGTGGTCAAATATGCGCCGCGCGGGGAACGACGTCGCGCACGGTAGCGCTACGACGAGGGCCCATTTCGAACACGCAATCGCGACACTACCCAAGAACTCTATGGACCAGGACATATTGACGGAGATATTTGTTTGCAAGTTCGGCTGTCCACCCGTTGTTTGACTGCCAGTGTCCACCACGCCTCTGCGTCTCAAGGATACTGTCCCAACCGCGATCCTCAGAGTCTAGCCCACTTCGCTGGTCTGTCCTCCTCTTTCCCGGCCAGCACGTACGTCCCCCAGCACACGCACGCAATCTCTCTCGTCCGGCTCACTGCGTCCCAAAGTCTTCCCTTCCAAGCACTTCTTCGCTCAGTCCTTCCTCACCCGCGATACTTTCAACGTCCAACCGTCGACTCAAAGTCCAGAGGCGCAGGGCTCTCAGGAGCGTAGCATACGCCTAGTCGGCAGGACAATGCGGAGGCTCTCCGTCAACAAGGCTATCAACGATAACCAGCCATCAATGGCCGGTATGCAACATGTGGGGCCTGCCGCATCCTGCGCTGACAGGTCCTTTGTGGGGTGCTCGTGCCGCGGGTTTTCCGGGCTCTACCTTATCGTTTCATATTACGCTCGAATTATCCGTCCACATATCTTCGATCCCATTTACCTTTACCCTCTCTTAGGTTTGTTGGATGTAGCCCGGGTCGTGTACGTTTAGTGGCACGCGTTACTCCGTTGGAACGTTATCTCCGAGTAATGGGTAAATTTGACGTACAGTGGTCTATATATCTATATGCAAGGAGAAGCAGGAGGGCTCTACATATAATTGTACAATGCAACATGTTTCGCAGTCCACCGTCAACGAAGGGATATCGATACAGAGCAAAATGCATTGGAGAAATGCATCCATCGTATAGTCCAAGAAAGCATCCAAGCGAGGTGCAACTATACACGGTCGCGCATCTCGTATTCCTCTGCCAACAATGCAGCGGCCTCCGGGAAGCGTGGCTGGATATCAACTTCGAATGGCTTTGGCTTCCTAAACGAAAAGACCAATCAGCCAGTCGTCTCACCCACGATCCGAGGAGATACTCACACAACCACACCGTCTTCCACAAACCCATCTACATCCAACTCGGCGTCATTGACCCTCCCCATGTTGAACGCCCACAAAGATATCGCAATGTCGATGAAGATCGAGTTATTTGCGACATGCCGTCCGACGCAGATTCGCCTCCCAAACCCGTATGTGACATGGCCTTCCTCCTTCGTATCCTCCGGGCCCGGCGCAAGCTGTCCGTTCGCGTCGAGATGCCTTGCTGGGTTGAAATGGGCTGCATCCTCTCCGTAGATTTCGGGGTCACGGTTGAGGAGCCACACATTGGCCATCACGATCGTACCCTTCGGGATGAAGTGGCCCTCGTAGTAGTCATCCTCCGTCGAGCGATGGGGAAGACCGACGGGGTCGACGGGACGCCAGCGGAGGGCCTCTTTCACCATCGCGCGGATGTAGGGAAGATGAGGAAGGTCGGCGAACGTGGGGATCCGGGTACGACCGACGACGGTATCTAATTCCTCTTGGGCTCGCTTCTGCGTCTCGGGGTATACGAGCATGGCCAGAGTCCACCAGGCCATCACAGCAGACGTTGTTTCCGCGCCTGCAGCACTGTCCGCTGGTTAATACAGGAAGAACGCAAAGTAAAGGATTAGAACGTACTACATGGTGGCTGCCAACCACGAGTTCTCGCCCGTAGAAAGACCATACCGACTGGACTGTTTAATGAGGGTCCCACTCAGCGATGGTCCCTCCGTCCCCTTTGTCTGAAACGTGACGATGTGAGTATCATTTCGATTCTGGAAAAGAGCAAACGAACGATCTTGTCCTGGACGCCCGTGAACAGGTTCTCGAACATGGCCGAATCCTTGGTATACGATTGCTCTGCTTCTCGTTTCCATTTCGCGAATCTAACGATAATCTATGAGTCCATGTAAATAGAAACCAGTACGAGAAAATGCACCTGCTGGGGATGTGCATCATCCATGGAAGGAATTCTACAAGGTGTGACCCAGGCAGCGCTGCGCGCGTGAGCCTTGCCACAAAGTCGTTCACATCCTTGACGCGAGGATCATGTTCCGACTCGATCATTGGCGTGTCGTAGGTGACCGACATGACCATCGATGCGGCGGTCCGACGCAGGTGCTTGTCCCACTCGCGAGGCTGCCTTATCATGTCATTGGCAAGCACCAAGGCCTCGAACAATTGCGTGTCCTGGAAGTGCTCAGCGACATTCCTGTTCAAAGCTTCATGTGCGGCTTTGCGCATACGTCTCCACCTTCATTGACCTCGTCAGATCCGCATGCGAGGGGTAAATAGTAAATGTGGAAGGCGTACAAAGGACTGTATCCTTGAAAGACCATAGCCATACCACCACAGAGAATCTGCGCGGCAACGATGTTGCGAGGCCTATCAGAATATATTCCCGCTCGGCGGTCCAGCAGATCCGCTGCCGCCTTTTGTGTGTTGAGTACAACGATCGTCTGCCCCAACGCGCTGATCGACATGACATCTCCTGCATGGAATGAGTTCATGCGCATGGTGGCCTCATGAAAAATGGGACGCACCGTACGTCTTCCTCCACTCCGTGAATGTAAGCCACTGTTCGCTTCGAAGTGAAAGCGCACTGCCGAGTATAGGGAGTCCCCGAGGCCCAGGAGGTAGTTTGCGATATGGGCTTCGAATATAACGGACGACAAAGGTGAGAGTGAGTGCGATGATAGCGCCGGCGGCGAGAACTTGATTGTCTTTGAGCGCTTCCACCATCGTGAGACGCGAGAGAATGGCCCCAAGGCTAGGGGGAAGCTGGATAGAAGAGAAAGTCGGCATGAGGTGAGCCGCCTGAGGAAGCGGGGGGACGAGTTATAATGGGTCCTGCTCCTTCTCTCCGTTGGTGTCGGCCAAGTTGAACTTCGCTCCCAGGAGGCGAGTGAGAGTGGCTTCTAATAAGCCGTATGACTTACGCGTCGATGGCAGAGAAGCTCTGGCGGGGTATATTGGGGACAACCGTGAGAGGTCGGGTCAGTTCCGATGAAGATGTCATCCTCCGTTTTCAGAACGGGCGTAACGCATAAGGAGAGCTTGACGCCTTGACTAGGCAGAGGCGCCTAGATCCATCCCTTGCACCAGTTTCAAGGAGTTTGCACCGGTGTCTCCATATGAATATGCGTCTGATTTGCGGGACCAGGCTCGGGCGACGGTAGGGAAATCTTGCTCTTTGATGTTCAATTTCACCGTGGCAGGCTACGCCTAGTTGATCTACGAATGGCAATGGAAGCAAAGATGAGTAGTGCATGCAGCCAGATGCGCCGATGCGGCTACGGGCCTACGGCCAGCAGAAGGGCATGGAAGGCTGATACTTCACTGGGGTGTCGACAGGTCCAAAAAGAAGGACCAGGTGACGATGACGGTGTTGCATTGGTGTTGCAACTCGAGGACAGCGCTTTGCGCCGCTGAAGCGCTGGAGGTTGAAGCTGTTGAAGCTTGAAGTTGAAGCGCTATCGCCGGGGTTAAGCCGGGGTGTGAAAATCTCGGGAGTCCGGCGGCGGGCGCCAAGACCTGGGTCCAACGATGCCGCCGGCGACTCCGCATAGCTTGTCACCTCCGCTTGCCTCGCAAATTGTGAATTCGCTCCCTGCCCATGTACTCCTGTCCATCAGATCTCACTCTGAGATGGATTCGGGGAACGCGTGGTGGCATCATAGTGCACACATTCGTGAATAGTGAGTATGATTATGACCGATCTATGGATTGTTAAGCTTCGGGCGAGCTTGAAAGGCACTATAGCCAAGTGGTTACGGCGACAGATTCGAATCTTGAAGTTCATCTGTTTTCCTTTGGGAGCACAGGTTCGAGTCCTGCTGGTGTCGGGATTGTTTTTCTTTTGCACCTGCGCTTGCTGTTCGCTGAACTCAAAGCCTTAGGTGGCCTACCGGAGGCTAGGCCCCACTCAGTGACTCAAGTAGTGTTCAACAAACTATAAAGTATACTTAAATATAATCATAATAATACGCAAAATTACCGTTAAATATGTGATCAGCCATAATCATAATTACTGGATATGATTAGATATGGGCTGCATAATATATTTACTCATAGGTCATTGCAGCCAGATCACAGCTTACAAGAAGTGAATCCTTGGCCATATGTATGTTCTCTGAGGTTCATTATCCCCAATAGAGTCAGCAGACATCATATTGACATCAACTTTCTTGTGTTTAC